AATCAGGGACCCATCTCCCCGCCCGCCTCATCCACGTGGCGCAGTACTGGCCCCCTTCTGAACGAGCCCATCACGGCCACGAACATCTGAGCGCTCCAGAATCAACCCCCTCTTCTCCACACCCCGTTGGGGCAGCCCTCCCTCCTGAACAGTCCTGGGACGGGTGTGTCCCCAGCCCCACCCACGGCCCGGCCTGTCCCTGCACTTCGGGGCTGCTGGGCTGGCCTGGTTTCGGGGCCAGCATCTGTTTGGAGGGGTCGGGAGTGCCCAAGCCGTGGGTGGGAGCGTGGCCGACACAGTGGCCGCCCCCGCCCCCCACCCCGCCCACGCCGATCTCCGCAAGGTGCTTCTCAGACGTTGTGATGCAGACACTGATGAAGGAGAGCCCGACCGTCCGCACCGCTCATGGCCCAGGCCATGCTGAGCACCCGGGAGCCACGTGTGCTCTGCCTGTCTCGACCCCGGGCAGTCCTCCGTGGTCGCCCTCCATGGACGCCCTCCATGGGCCCCCTTCCGCTGCACCCCAGCTGTCCAGCGTGGCCAAAGTTGGCCACGGGGGCCTCTCCGCCTGCAACCGACGTTTTCGGTGGGTCTTCCCAGGGAGGTGGTGAGGCCCGCGGGGTGAACTGTGAGTCGGGGGCCCCCACTCCCCCGCGGAGGCCACAGCGACGCTGCGTGGAGCCGACACGGAAAGCCTTGAGAGCGCACGGGTCTACCGGGAGCCTCTGGATGCGTCGGCACGGGGCTCCCGCCCCGCCTGGAGAGCGGAGGCCCCGTGGCCTCCGGAGTGGCCTCGCCACGGGGCAGGAGGGCGGCCCCGTGGAACTGCGGCCCGTTCCATCGGGGGGCTGTCACAGACGGGAGGGACTGAGGGCTGAGCGTGCACGTGTGCACGTGGGCGTGCGTGGTGTAGTGGACGGGCGTGAGGCCCCCGAAGACTCTGACCGAGAGCACAGGGCAGGTGACAACGGCTCTCCGGGGGCGGTGCTCCGCGTGCCGGGCTGACGGCCTCACTGCACGGGGACAGCTCAGCGCGGGTGAAGGCGGGCGGGCTGGCCGAGAAGCCCAGGGCCCTGAGGGCTGGGGCCGCGCTCCTGGCGCCTTGAATGAGCTCAGGGTCCAGAGGGCGTCTCCGGAAACTGCTGTGGGGCACGCCCCCTCCTGTAGCCGCGTGGACGCGGGTGAAGCCCCTGGGGGTGACTGTGCTTGGGGGGGGGGGGGGGGCGAGGAGGGACCGGGGAATCGCGCAGGCGGCTCCTGGCTTCCCAACGTTCTGAGAGCGCCGGCCCGCGGCAGACGTGGCGGCCAGGCCGCGGCGGGTCTCAGTCCCAGCCCTGCGGGCCCACAGTGCACCGCCACGGTGGGGACCGTCTGACCGCTCCACGGTGACCACGCGCCCCCTGGCACCGGCAGGACGTCCGAGGAGCTGGGATCCGAGGGGCTGAGGTCCCCCCGCCCCGCGCTCCTTCCCTGTGCACGGCTGCCTGCCGACCTGACGCCTGGTCCCCCCTTCGCGTCTGCTGTTCTGTTTGGGGGGCAGTTGATGGGGTTGACGGAGATAATTACTGGTTGAGACACAGGCGGGTGTGACTCAGTTCCGTGGCGCCTCCGGGCTGAGAGGGGTTCACGCAACATTCCAGGCTGCCTGCCGCACCACGAGCCGGCCGTGTGACCCTGGGCCCGTCTCCTGACCTCTCGGTGCCTCCACCCCTGTTTCCACCGGAATTAACCCTGCGCCGCACTGACACGGGGTCGTTGGGCTTTCTGTCCTCCCGGCACCACCTAGTCCAGCCTCCTCAGTCAGGAACACAGCGACAGGATCCCCACCAACAGAGGCTTGAGCAGATGGGGGGCTCCGCTTTTCTCACGAAGCACGGAGCTGACGGCTCTAACTTTCCGCCGGCCGGCCGGCCCTGCTGTATAGACCCTGAGCCTCACGATGGTTGCCTCCCGGCCACAGAGTGGCTGCCACTCCTCCAGACCTCACATCCGTATCCAGAAAGAAGGGCAAAGGGCCCTGCAGCTGAGTCTGTTTCTTTTTTTTTCTAATCAGGGTAAGCCGTAGCTTTCCTACAAGCCCCACCCCGAGACCTCTGCTCTCGTCTCGTTGGCCAGAACTGTCTGGCATGGCCTCCTCTAGCTACAAGGGAGTGGGAAAGTGGGGTCCATGATGTCACCGGAGCCTTGGCCCCGTCACCTCCACGTAGAAGTGCCCCCGCCGGCCCTACCTCGCTCCTGCCCCGCACAGCAGCTGTCCATCCGGTGACGCCCAGAACCCTGGGCGAGCTCACCTGCCTACATCCTGCTCGCTCTGTCCTGGTTTGGGGGCGTGGGCGAGGCTCCCGGGGGGGTTTCACCCCCCACGGCGGCCTTCGCTGCCTCCACTCGGCGCAGGGGAGCGTGTCATTCGCTGGGACCTGCAGGCGATGTCCCTGGGAGTGTTTGTGGGGGAGGCGGACGGCCCCTCGGTGCAGCCCCCTCTCGGACGCACACCTACTGGTGTGACGGGCACGCAGGCCTCCGACAAGAGCAAGGCGACCGCGTGCTTCGTCATCCACCGGGACGCCCTTGAGAGTTGCTGTGGACCAGGACGTCAGGTCAGCGGGCGTGAACGGGGCCTGTCCCGGGCAGCAGGTGTTGACTAGGGTTTGCTGCGTAGCCCCCGCGTGCAGCCGCCCCTCACAGCTGCATCAGGTAGCTCCCGGCAGGGGAGCCTCCCTTCGGACTTTGCGGCTTAGGAGCCATTTCCTTAGCCCGCGAAGCCATGGGCCGACCACGCCCTCTCCGGAGGGCCGGCCCCTGCTCGTCCTCATGGTGGTGGCCGGGGCACAGGGAGCTGAGGCCCGAGCAGGGTGTCCTGGGGCCCCAGCTGGGACCCGGCACTCGGCCGCTCTGCCCCTCTCTGGTGTGCGCAAATCACGCACCCGGGGGCTCGGGCGACGGTCTCTGCCCTCGGTAGGGGCGTCCACGGGCTCCAATGCAGAGATTTGACGGCCGGGCTCCGGGATGGGGGCTGTGCGCCAGCACGCCGACCTGGGTGAGGCCTGGTCGGCGGGCGTTTGTCCTTTCCTCCACCGTTGGGGTGCTTGCAGAGCGAGTGGGGATGTCCCCCCTCCACCCCGAAATCCCTGAGCCCACGGTGCTGTTGGGATGCCAGGCGGGCGTGTTCCTGCGCGTCCAGCAGCTTGGGGAAGGTTGCAGATGCCCCCTTAACCTCAGGCACCTGCGGCCCTCGCCCCCCAACCCTGAGCACCCTGTGGGGCCCAGCCCGGAGGACGGGGAGAATGACCCCAGCTCCCGCCGTCCGGAAACGCTCTCGCCTCTCTGAGCGGAGGAGAGAGACCGTGGCCGAATGTTGCCCAGGAAAGATGGGGGTCTGACGGGGCCCTGAGCTCGCCCACAAAGCCCCACGTGCGAGTCTGTGTCCAGCCGCCCTCACGTAACTAAGGCTTGAGGCCACTGAACCAGACCGAGCGGGGCCTTTCCCGCCATCCTGTCCTGTGGCCGCGCCTTCCAGGGTGGCCGCACCAGCCGCACACGTTTCAAGGGCTCAGTGGCCGGGCGCAGCTGTGGCTCACCTTTTGGCGGCCCAGATCTAGAACACGCCCGTCACCGCAGAAAGTCCTGCTGGGCAGGTCTGGCAGTTGCTAACAGATTCCTGAACGTGAATTCATTCATCCATCGAACAGCCTGCGTTGAGTGCTGACCACGCACCCGTTTTGTTCTGAGTGCAGTGGGTGGGGCCGTGGTCCCGGAGCGCAGGCCTCAGAGGGACAGACAGACCAGGGGTGACGGGACCAAGGGGCTGCAGCGTCACATCAGAGAGTGAGGAGGGGACCACAAAAAGGAGGCATCTGAGCAGAGGCTTGCGGGCAGGTGCAAAGGCCCTGGGGCCGTGGGGAGAGCAGAGGAGAGACAGGTGGGGGCAGGGAGCCCTGGGAGCACCAGGGGCCAGCTGAGGCACGGAGGCCCCTCCAGGATGCACAGTGATGGCGGCTGCAGAAGGCCCGGGGCGAGGGTGGGGGGGTAATCACGGTGCCGTCCCCGCAGGTCCGCCAGGCTCCCACTGTGGCGCTTCCGTGTTTGCCTTCTGGAACATTTCTGGCTCAGCAGGCATCCAGCTGCGTCCCCAGCCTCCCCGCTGCCCTGCAGCCTCCCAGGACCAGGCGCTGGGGGCAGGGTCCCCACCGTCAGCGTGAAGGAGCTGGCGCTGTCCCCTGGGCTCTGTGCAGCGGGCAGAGCGCGGGTCCCCCACGGGCTAGGAGCCCAGCAGGGGGAGACTGTTGGCCGCGTGCTGGGAACCCGTGAGGAACCCCCAGCCTCCCCCTGCACACAGGACGTCCCACCTGCCCGGACATGACTTGTTGCGGCCGTGTGGGGCGTCAGGACGGGGACCCTCAGCTGCGAGATGTCCCTCCTCCTTCCCCTGCTTTCTGAAGGCAAAGTCGGGCAGGGGAGGAGGCAGGAATCCCCCGTCACCTTCCCCAAACAAGGGCTCGGCTCTGTAGTGAGTGAGCGGCAGCCCCAAGAGGGTGTCTGGATGGTCAGGCTGTGCACTGAGACAGACGAGAGGACGGTGCGCCTGCGGGTCAGGGTCTTTGGGGACAGTTAGGGACTTCAGGGAGTCCTCCGCTCCGGGAAGCAGCTGTAAGACGCTTTCTTTGGCCGAGACCGGGTGTGTCTGGGGTGCTTGAGGCAGCGTTTGCGCGGCCAGCACCGCGGGTCGAGGGTGTCTGGATGGTTGGCCTGCTCTTTCCAGACTGGATTGTGGGCTTGTTCCTCCGGCGGGGGGGCAGCGGCTGGTGTTGAAGCCCCCGGGCCAGGACCCCTTCCCCCCGCACGGAGCAAGCACAGGGCAGGGGGGCAGCGGGCAGGAGAGACGAATGTGGTGGGAGACGTGGAAGGGGAGGCCATGTCCCCGGAGCAGGCTCTGGAGCATGGGTCCTGGGGCCGCGGGCGGCCGTGCTGTGTCCCCACAGGTGTGGCAGTGTGGCGGCAGCATGGAGGTGCTCCCCTGCTCCCGCGTGGCCCACATCGAGCGCAGCAAGAAGCCCTACAACAACGACATCGACTACTACGCCAAGCGCAACGCCCTGCGGGCAGCGGAGGTGTGGATGGACAGCTTCAAGTCCCACGTGTACATGGCCTGGAACATCCCCATGACCGTAAGCCGGGGCGCGGCGGGGCGGGGGGGCCGGCGGCTGCGAGCGAGCCTCGCCGCGCCCCGTGGTGATGCCAGCAAGGACCCGGGGCCCACGTGCAGACGCACAAGCACGGGGTCTCGCCGGACGCGGGCTCTGGCAGCGCGTGCAGCCCCAGCTCGCCGCCCGCCCCGCTGCACCCTGCGTGCTGTTTCTTGTGCTTTCTCGTGGCCAGTTATATGCGGTATAGAGTCTGCATTGCGGCCTTTTGTTTCTGGCTATTTCTGAGAGAGACAGATCGTGAGCGGGGGAGGGTCAGAGAGAGGGAGAGAGGGAGACACAGAATCCGAAGCAGGCGCCAGGCTCCGAGCAGTCAGCACAGAGCCCGACGCGGGGCTCGATCCCACGAACCGCGAGATCGTGACCTGAGCCGAAGTCTCATCAGACGCTCAACCGACTGAGCCACCCAGGCGCCCCTCCATTTTAGCCCTTTTAAACCGCGCAGTTCTGGGGCCTTGCACACACCCACAGTGCCGCACGACCACCCACCTGCCTAGTCCCCAAAAAAATCACGGAACCTGGTAGGCAGCTAATCCCCGTCTGCCGCCCCCCAGCCCTCAGCACCCGGCCGTCTGCTCTGTCCCAGGATTTACCTGTTCCGGACGCTTCCTTCCCGTAAATGGGGCCCACGGCACTTCTCCTCTTGTGTCTGGCTCCTTGCACGGAGCACCATGTTCTCAGCTCCGTCCACGTGTGGCGGGTGTCAGGGTATCAGTGCTTCCTTTCCATGGCCGGGTCACCTTCCACATATGGGTGGACCATGGTTGGTCTAGCCGGCCTTCTGTCCACGGACACCGTCCACGGATACCTGGGTTGCTTCCTGTCTCTTTGGTCCTTGCAGTTTCGACCCACATCTAGTTAGGGGTTGCTGTTTGTTTTTACTTTGTGGTCAACCGAGTCCTGTAAATAGCCTGTATTCTGGCTTCTCTTGAAAACCCAGAAGACCCGGTTCCCCGGCCTCCGTGACGGTAATGAGGGCTGGTACCCAGCAGAGGCTGCCCCTCACGTGGGGCGATGTCTAGGCCGCCGGTCCCGGCGCTTCGGCTGTGGAACCAGCCTTCACTCACGTGTGGCTTCCCCGGCCACCGGAGGGTGCGAGGCTGGGGGCCCTGGGGACACCCGTCCCGGACACGGCTTTGTGAAAAACACACCATAAGCGCCAGATCTCGCGTCATGAGCCTGCGCACACGTGTACACGTGTGTGTGATTATCTGCCCACGTGTAGAACGCCCGCTACGTAACACAAGTTGCAGAAACACCACTGATCTCCGTGACGTGCATTTCTCGCTGCCACCAGCTAACCTCCCAAACCAACAGGGCGTGCCCAGAGTCTGGGTGACGCTGCTGGAGGGCCAGGCTGGGCCACCTGCTCACAAGGCCGCTGTCCCAGGCGGGGACGGGGGTGGGGGGCACGGAGGCTCCTCGAGCGGTAGTTTCCAGCCACGTGAGCGACACCGTGGAAACACACACACGTTTATCAGAGATGGAAGGAGGGCACACAGTCCCTTATGAACCCTCATATTCCACCAAGGGACCCCATTCAGGAAACGACCCCATTACCCCTCAAAAGGGAACCTGGGCATTGTCACCACGGGGCCTGCAGGCCGCGTGCACGCGGGGTCCACGGCTCCGGACCAGAGGCTGGCAGACGCCCTCCCCCCGTCTCATTGTAGCCCCGCGCTCCCCGCCCCCTGCCCGGACTCACCTGCTGCTCGTGTGAAGGCTGTGAGGGGCTCCTCTGTGGCCACAGCCACCACGTGGAGGAGGGAGAGGGGCTCTCCCTGGGCAGCGACCTCCCCACCGGGCTTGGCTGGCATTGGAGCCCCGGGCACCCTGGCCTGGGAAGGCACTCTCCGAGACCCACTCACAGAGGGCTCGGTGCCTGTCACGGTGTTGGGGGCCCCAAGGCCACCCTCAGCTTCAACGTTTGGCTGGAAGGACCCAGAACTCCAAAAAGCTGTGCTGCTCAGCCTGTGGTTTCTTACAGCGAGAGAATACAGAGTCCCAGGGCTCATATAGACAGCACGCACCTCTCCCAGGCACGCCGTGTGGCGGTCCGCATGGTGGGTCAACAACCAGGGACACCAACCCAAGCCTGGGGCTTGTCCACGCAGGAGCCAGCCTCCGCATGGCTGACCGTAGTCCGTAGGTCACGCTGATACCCCACCACGGCCCAAAGCCCCCCAGAGATCGCCCTGCGGCATAGACTGTCGGGCCTAAACCCCAGGTAGACGCTCGGTGACAGGCGGGATGATCCGAGGGCTCAGAGGTCGTCTCCCAGGGGGCGGGGGTGGGGGCCGAGGGCAAGTGGTTTCTTTGGAGTGTGTGCGTGGGGACGAGCCAGCACACAGCCCGTGGCCGTCTGTCAGGCTGGGGCTGGTCTCCAGCAGGCAGGACAGGCCAGGCCCTCCCCTTCGGGAACAGCCGGGCCAGCACGGGTCCTGGGAGGGCCGGGGGCCGCCGTTGGTCAAGCCCTGAGGGGTAGGGCTGCTCCCCTGTCTGTCACGGGCGGGGGGGCGGGGGGACGCGGCCAGCTCCCGCCTCGCTTCCCGCCTTGCAGAACCCAGGGGTGGACTTCGGGGACGTGTCTGAGCGGCTGGCGCTTCGCCAGAGGCTGAAATGCCGCAGCTTCAAGTGGTACCTAGAGAACGTGTACCCGGAGATGCGGACCTACAACGACACCCTCACGTACGGAGAGGTACCGCCTCCACCTGGGGGGCCCCACGCGGGCGGGTCGGGCAGGCTCCCCGCCTGGACGCGCACCCACGTGCCCGCCACCAGCCAGCACGGTGCGCATACGGGTTCTCGTGCACGCGTGCGCGAAGCAGTGTAAGAGCCCATGTTCACGCGGGTACTCATGCGTACGGAAGCACACAGAGTAGACACAGGGACACGTGCACGCACGCACGTGTGCACAGACACATCCACACGTGTGTGTGGACACACATCCACGTGCACGAACGCGGACCCCTGAGTGCGTTAGCGTCTGCACACACGTATGTGTACGTGTGTGAGGCCTGAAAGGGTACGTTTGCACACAGTCTGGCTCACGAGCACACACAGCGAGCTACTGACACACCTTCCCTCAGGGGCACACACCCAAAGGTGCCCGCCTGCGCTCACGAAGACGCACGATACTCGACACAAAACGTCAGGTGAGCGGGTGCTCCCTGACCACGGAGATGTGCGGGCCAACGCATCCACACGCACGTAGCCGGGCTCGTATGCACAGAGCACGCACGTAAGTGCAAACAGAACACACACATGGGTCCACGTGCCCGCCGCACGGGTCCTCGCCTGCACCAGCGCACGCAGCTCTGTAGAGCTGGCAATAGGACGCTGTGTCCCCATCCCGTCACCCTGGTCTGTGCTGGCGGGGAGGGCAGTCTCCCTTCAGTCGGGGCGTCTGCCGCTCCAGGGGGACCCGGGCCCCGTGTGGGAGGAGCGCGCGCCCTCTGGCCCTGGGCTCGCGCTCAGTGCGCGGCGAGAAGGGTGCCCGGGTGGACGGTGCGGGCTGGCCTGTCTGTTCCTGGAGCTCACGTTCTCCGGCAGAGCAGGCTTCTCTGCCCCTTGGGGAAGGGGGGCGGCCTCGCGCTGGCCTTTGGGACCCCCCAACAACGGGGTTTCTCCTTCGGTTTCTGATTGTAGGTGAGAAACAGCAAAGCCAGTGGCTACTGCCTGGACCAGGGAGCGGAAGACGACGACCACGCGATCCTCTACCCCTGCCACGGGATGTCCTCTCAGGTGCGAGGGGCAGCTGCACCCCACGACGGGGGGAGGTGCGTGCAGGAGGGGCGGGTCGCAGCAGGCTGGGTCCAGGCTTCGGGCAGCGCGGAGACCCTCAGGGAAACCCCCGCCCCAGATACACCGAGACCAGGGCTTTTGGAGCCAAACAAGCCCTGGGCGAGTCACGTCGCATCCCTCGCCTCAGTTTCCCCATCCAGCAGATGGGACCCTAAAGGTACTTAACCTGTCGGGGCTGTTGTGCGGACCAAAGTGGATCACGTGGGAAGGCGTCTGCCGCGGCGTGGGCAGAACCGGGGAGGTGTCACGGTCCCCACTGGTCCTTACCGGCTGAGCTCCTCCCACGTGACCTTCGGCCCGGGCTCCAGCCCGAATCACCTGAGGGGACTTAGCAACGCGCATACCGATGCCCAGCGCCCGGGCCGGCGGCCCCAGGCGGCACAGGGGCAGGTCTGGGGATGCGGACGAGGCGGCCCCGGCGGAGAGCCCGGGGATTCTGGCCCCGAGGGGACCCGCTGCTGACGAAGGCAGTGCTTCTGTTTGGTGTGTGTTGCTGTTATTTCAGCCAGACCCCAGGGTGCTTTCCCCAAATGACCCCCAGCTCCCCCAAAGGCACTCTCTGAGTCTCAGCCGCGCTCTCGGACGTCGTCCGGGGGAACGTCGCGGTGACCTGTGCCGGCCTGGGCAGCGAGAAGCCGTCGTGTCCAGGAGGCCCCCGGTGGTTCGTGGCGGGCTGTGGCACTGGAGCGGAGAGCGTGGGTGCCCCCGGCCGCCTCCTGCAGCTTCGTCCCGCAGCAGCTGGGATTGAGACAAGACAGTCACCCACCGGGAGGCAAGCGTGGCCTCCGGGAGGAAATCCGGTCCGCTGGCCCGTTCTCCGGCTGGCACCCAATGTGAGGGGCCACGTCCCGCTGGGCGTCTCTGAACACGCCCGACAAGGAGCCACCGGAGGGGATCAGTGGACCAAAGTTTTCCCCAGCGAGTCCTGCGGCATGAGAGGGGACACCATAAACGACGTGGCCCACACGACCCTCCTGGAGGGGCTCGCACAGCACCAGCCAGGCCACGGCGAGGCTGCAGATCCCCTTCTGGGCTGGCGCTCGCCCGGCCGTCGGCTCAGGAGGACCTCGGAGCCTCCCCACGTGGCCTCTCCCCAGGCTGCTGGTTCCCAGGGCAAGCACCCCAGGAGAACAGGGGCGTCACGACCGTTTACACCCAGCTTCAGGAGTCAAGACGGCACGTCCGTGGTGTCCGCTCGCTCCCCAGCAAGATCCGGGGGAGACTGTAGGTCCCCACCCTTAACAGGAGGGGTCAAAGTCACAGCTACGGAGCGTGCAGGGCGGGAGGCAGCATTACAGCTTGTGTTCCATAAGATTGTGCCGGAAAATACAGCCTTCGGGGGGGGGGCCCGCAGTGCATTCGGGCAGTGCGTGTGCGTGTACGTGTGCATATGTGCGTGTGCATGCACGAGTGTGTGCGTGTATTCATGGGTGCATCGTGTGTACACGTGTGGGTGCGCGCATGCATGTGTGTACACGTGTGCATATGTGTACATGTGTATGGGTGCATGTGTGTACACATGGACGTGTGCATGTGGGTGGGTGCGTGTGTACACGTGTGTGTATTCATGTGTGCGTCACGTGTGTGTACGTGGGTGGGTGCGTGCATGCGTGCGCTTGGGTGTGTGTGTATGTACACGTGTGTGCATGTGTGCGCGTGCATGCATGAGTGTGTTGTGCGCGTGTACGTGTGTGCATGTGTGTGTATTCATGGGTGTGTCACGTGTGTACGCGTGTGGGTGCGTGCGTGCATGCGTGTGCGTGTGTACACGTATGCATATATGCGTGTACATGCACATATGTGTGGGTGTGTGCGTGCATGTGTGCACGTGTATGCATAGGTGTGTGTGCGTTGTGCGTGTCCACACGTGTGCCTGTATGTGCACGTGCTCACGCGTGAGCGGGAAAAGACGGGGCAGGGAGGGGAGAGAGACGCGGCTGTAGCACCTGCTTGTTGACTGAGCGTGAGCTGCTTTTTAAGCACTTTTGTGTCGTGCCTCCTGGATCCTTCCGGTAGCCCAGCCAGGCAGGTGCCGTCACGACCTCCTGCGTACAGACAAGGACGCGGACGCAGGGAGGTGACGTGACTTGCCCAAGGCCACATGGCTGGGGTGGCCTGAGGTTTGGTGGTTACTTTCCTGGTGTTTTGCGAACAAGTGGGACCCAGGCGCACATGAACTTGGGTTGGCTCCCCACGCGGAAGTGAACGTTCACCCCCTGGTGGTTCTGGGCAGGCGGTGCGCCCTGAGGGCACGTGTGAGCTTCCCTTCTCTGGGCCGAGAGAGGGGCCCCGGGGAGCCGAGGGCTGAGCCAAGTTCTGGAAAGGGGCCTGAGGCAGTCCTGCGGGGGGCGTCGGTGGAAGGAATGGGGGGGCCAGGGGAGCGGGGCGTCCGGCTCGCCCGGTGCCCGCCCCCCTGCCTTCCCTGACGCCCAGCCCGTCCCCGCGGTCCTCCCGCAGCTGGTGCGCTACAGCGCTGAGGGGTTGCTGCAGCTGGGCCCCCTGGGCTCCACCGCCTTCCTGCCCGACTCCAAGTGCCTGGTGGACGACGGCAGGAGCCGCGTGCCCGCCCTGAAAACGTGTGAGGACGTGGCCCGGCCAGCGCAGCGGCTGTGGGACTTCACCCAGGTCAGCAGGGCACTGAGCACCCCCCGCCCCCACCCCTGCCCCCGGGGCCCAGGTGCGGGGGAGGAGCTGTGAGGGCACAGGGGTCCTGGATCGGCCGCTCCTGGGTCTACCCCCCCTGGTGACCTACCTCTGGCCACACAGCCAGGGAGGGGCCCGCCGGTCTGGTCACAGCACTGTGGCCGCCCAAGCTCCCGCCTCCTCTGGCCTCCCAGAGGGTACGGGGTGTGACCGCCACCGGGAAGCCCTCAGGGCAGCTCCTGGCCAAGCGGGGGCCAGGCTGGACTCCCTGCCGAAATCAGCCCCTGCTGGGCCCCGGCTTAGAATTTCCAGCCCCGAGAACATCTGGGGCGGACGAGTCAGTGGCGGCCTCCCTGCCTGGTGCAGCAGCCTGGACTCCCGTCCCCCCACCCCCTGGGGACCCCGGCCCAGGCCCCTCCCCGACAGCAGGCACCGGCTGGGATGCTGCCTGGCCCAGAACGACACGCGGGTCGCCGCGGGCAGCCGGCCCCCAGGGAAGGGGCAGGAGGGGGGCCTCCCAGCCCCGGGCGGCTCTGGGCCGAATCCCGCTGGCACTTCTGTCCGGCTGCCTTCCTCCGTGTGGCCCTCTCCGCAGCCCCTCCCGCCCTCTGTGCCCCCCTGCTCCCCCTGCACCCCACACGCATCCACCCAAACACCGCACGCCCTTCTCCGGCGTCCAGGTTTCCGCCCAGGTCAGCCCAGGACTCGCCCTCTGGTGACTTGCTGGAGACCCCACCTCCCTCCAGCCCTGCTGAGTGCCCCCGACCCCTCTCCCTCAAAGCCATTCGTGTCCTAAATCTCTGCCGTCTCTGCTGGCGGCTGAACTCCCCAGATGTGCATGCTCTCGCATCTGAGGTCAGGTGCCGAGGGCCCTGGGGGCTCCTTCCTGCCTCTCCAGCCTCTCCTGGGCTTGTGGCCCCACCCCTCCTCCCTTGGCCCGCTGTCTGGCCTCCCGGTCTCCAAACCCGTCCCCTGGTCGGTCGAGGGCGCCCTGCTCTGGCTTCTCCTGTCTTCACCACTCACATCTGCTCAGACACTCGGGCCGCAGCGCCAGGTCCTGGGGGCAAGGGCCTGGTGCGTCTGGCCTGTTTCTCTAGAACTCTCTGCCCTTGGTACTCGGTAGCCAGGCTCTGGGCCCGGGGAGCCACTCCCAGCCCCGCCACCACCCCGCCCCGGGCTCTTCCACCTGACAGCGGGCATCTTCCAGGGGACATCCCGGGTCTCGTCCCCCGCCCCAACCCCACACACTCCCTGCCTCCGCTCCCACCAGGCAGCCCTGTGACAAATAAACACCCTCGGCAGCCCTGCCCTGGGCCTTGGGGGCTGGGACCTTCAGCGACCGGAGGGGCTGCAGGGGTGAGCTGTCACGGTTTCGGGGGCGGAGCCAGCAAGGGTCAGAGGTCCCCAGGAGGCTGGGTTGGGGTCGGGATGGCTAGAAGGAGCTGTCTGGAAAAGAAAGGAAAACATACAGTGTACAATCCTGAGGTCCTCAGGCTTGGGCCAGGGTCCTTGATGTCTGGGAGACCAGAGGGCCTGCGTGGGTGACCTGTGGGCAGATCGGATATGCCAGGCAGTGGGGATGCACTTGCGGGAGCCCCCTGTCTCAGGGGCCCTGTCTCCATTGTGCTAGTCACTCCTTGGACCCCAGGAACAAGGCAGGCAGGTGACACAGCTGATAGGGTGAAGATGCCTGAGGACAGAGGACCAGGAAGGGACAGAGGGACCAGGAGGGGACAGAGGGATGGGGGGGAACAGAGAGGTGGAAGGGTCAGAGGGACCAGAGGGGGACAGAGGGATGGGGAGGAACAGAG